TCCTCTGGGGTGGCTGTTGGTTTGAACCGCCAACCTTGTGGTTAACAGTCCCATGCTTATCCCGTAGCATCACCAGGGGGCTAGACTGGTCTGCTACCATGGAGTCCCTTCTTACTCAGCAACTTCATATAGGGTTTCTGAGATGGGAGTAGACAGCCTCAGCTTTCCTCTGCAGGTGGGAACTGAGGTTCCTTCAAAATAATCCTCTGGATGCTACTTTATTATTCTGCCCATTTTATAGCCAGTGAGAAGTAATTAATTTTTCTACATTAGCTAATAATTAGAGATCTCAGGATAAGAAACTGACTCTAGAGTCTAGAATCCACACATTAAGCTACGCGGATACAACATTTCAGTGCTTATTTTGAACAACGAAAAACATTTCAGAACTCACCCAAACGGGTACGGTACAGTTTATGTAATCTAATAAGTAATCCGGTCTTTTGAAAAGGGTAACTGTGAAGTAATAATTTTGAAAGAAGCCTCACAAAGCGAACAGAATGCAAGTCCAAAGAAAGCTGCTTTAGAAATGGTTTGAGTAATGGCATCCTCACTCGGGTGCTAGATGACAGCGCTGACAGATAACACTCAGTTTGAAAAATGACTAATGAGCGTAATTTCCCTTTTGTCCTACTGCTTGTTGGTAACTGCACGGCACCCTCTCCCAGAGCCATGCCATCCATCAGCTTTCCTTCTCCACTCCTCTGGACAGTGGGAGCCAGCTTTGGGATTGGGCGGAGCACATTTCTATCTCCCTTTAAGGTCTCTTTGAACAAGGAGGAGAAGTGAATTGAGGCCAATGCGAATTTTACCATTGTTATGGCAAGCTGTCTCCATCTGTGTGAATCTGGGTAGATTACAGAAACAAATTCATACAGTCATATGTGTATAGGAAAGAGCTTTACATACAAGAGCAGTTGAATATTGAGAAAACATCCCAGCCCAGTCCAGATGAAGTCCTTAAGTCCAATATTAGCTCATGTGTCTGATACCAATCTATAAAAGTCCTCTTCAACTGCATCAGTAATTCCCTGGGAGAAAGATGCGCTGTCTGCTTCTGTAAAGAGTGACAGCTGTCAGAAGTCCTGTCCTATAGTGGTGCCATGAGTTAAAATCGACTTAACCATTGTGGATTTGGGTTTTAGGATGAGAAAAAGTGCACAGCAGCAGAGAGTGAAGGTGACAGGGACGAAGAATTTGTTTTGCGTAGTGGTTGATCCAGAGATCGGACAACTTTCCATAACATTGCATAATCATAGGGTGGGCTTCAAAGATGGAGGCACCCACTCAAAGATTATGGCCCAGTGTGCTGCTTTGAATATATGTGACTATCCACAGTCCTGCCACTAATCCAGTCTCTGGTTGAGGTGCCTGACAGGGCTTACCAGGCCTCTCCTGATCTCCCATTCCAGGACTTCAGCCTGTCATTTTTCCTGTTCTGGTTACATAAATAAGTCACAGAAATGGAAAATCCCCGTCTGTTCCGGTTTTTCTCCGTTGGCCATGATAGCGCTAGTTTGATGTCCTGCATTGAAGAGCAAGTAGGAGATGCCCATAAGTCAGTCATTTGTAACCCAAGGACTGGCTGTGGTTTAAGTTACTCTGTGATTGCTAATATGTAATACTAAAACAACAACAACAACGACAAAACGACCACATCAAAAACCCAACACTGCCATCGAGTCAATGCTAACTTATAACAACTCCTAGTGTTTCCAACACCAATCGTTGATGGGAGTTGTGTCGAACTTCCCAGCCCAACGCACGGCCACCAGGGTTCCTAATATATAATACAGTAGCCGTCGTACATGAAGTGCTTGTCGGGAGTCCAGTGTGTGCTGTTGGTAGGTGGCCCTGGCTCATAGAAGCCCTGCTTTTCGCAGCAGGAAACACTACTTGTTCTTGCACCGTCCTCATCATTGTTAGGCTTGAGGTTTGTATACAAAAGAGACCTCGATCTCAAATTAATTTAAGGAGAACATTTATTAAGTCTTTTTTTTAATTAAAAAATTTTATTAGGGGTGCTTACAGCTCTTATAACAATTCATACATCAATTGTATCAAGCATGTTTGTACATATGTTGCCATCATTCTTTTCTTAATGTTTACTTTCTATTTGCACCCTTGGTATCAGCTCCTCTTTTTTCCTCCCTCTCTCCCACCCTTATGACCTCTTTATAAATTATAGATTAATATTATTTTCATCTTACACTGACTGCTGTCTCCCTTTCCCCACAGTTTCTGTTGTCCATCCCCCTGGGTGGGAATGTGTCAGTCATTGAGATTGGTCCCCCTTCCTCTCCAACTCTCCCCACTTTCCTCTACCCTCTTGGTATCGCTAGTCCCATTCCTATTCCTGGATTAAGTCTTCAAGAGACAAGGATAACCAAGACACAGACACATCCTCCATTAGCAGGAAGTCAAAATGGCATGCAAGGATTCTCAGTTGGGGCACTACTAGATAAATAGGGCCAGGATCAAAGTGGACGGTTATACACGCCTGATTAGTAGCCTATCAGAACATCACAATTAGAGCTGGGACTACAGATCCAGGAATGGGGCCATGATTGTTACACTGGGACCATACATTGTTAGATAACGAGGACTAACAATATTGGTCCAGTGCTCTCTGACCAAGGCAGTCAGGGCACAACTGAGAGGGCACAAGAGTCATGAGCATGTGATCCCCTGTGCTGTCCCCAGTACAGTGAATTCTATCAAGGACACACCCAGGCAAGCCCCTAAGAGAGACTCTCCCTCCCTGGGCTGGTTGCAGGGGATGGAGGTAATCAACTTTCCAGTGCACTCTACCTTAGGCCAAAATTATCTACATCCTTGGTTAATGATAAAAAAAAAAATTCAATGGAGGCTTAATCTATGTGGGGACTCTGCAAATGAATTCTGGGCTCTCACTGCCATCCTGAGCCTTTTGCAAACCAAGGTGCTCCGAATACAGGTGTAAGCTCTAATAAAGGTTTTCAGTATATCTGACAATGTTTCACTGCTCTATCAGTAGATCTGACAATGTTTCACTGCTACTCAGTGGCCGATTCCTCAAAAGTAGACAGGCTATTCCTTCTTCGTAGTCTGTCCTTAGTCTGAAAGTTCTATGTGCATGGGTTTTATTTGAAACAAAACATGATTAAACATGTTTTTACCATCACTGGACGGCTCCAGACACATTCTCTCAGAAGCACAGGTGCCTCACTCTGGCGAGGGTGCTGTAAAAACGAGAGCCCAATCCAGAGTGACTTCCAAGGGTATTTGCTGGGCCAGTTCAGTTCCAGGCAGAGGGGTCGCCTCCGAAGGTTATGATGCCTGCTCTTTTTAAAGCCAAAGCAATCTTGGTGTAGTTTGTCAAAGGACATAGGACAATCATAGGGGTTTATTACGATGAAATTTTAAGAAAATTTAAAGCTGCCTTGGTGGATAAAAAGGCCAAGAGGGTTGTGCTGAGGAATTTTTCGCACCCCATCATGACAATGCACATGCTTATTCATTGAGGATACAGGGGTGTCCCATGAGAATTTCATTGGGAAACTTTACGCTCACTCTGCTATGGCCCTAATCTTGCCCCCAAGGCGTCTTTTTGTTTCTCAAACTTAGAAGACATTGAAAAGGAACACGGTTTGAGTTCTTTAAAATTTGAGTCCCTAAATTGCTGTTTTGATAGGCTATAAATCGAAAAGCACAAAATTATTAGGGAAGGATTAGAGAGATAGAAATACTGCCTTCAGAAGTGTAGAGACATAGATGGAGAATATGTCAAAAAAGCAGTAGCTTAAAAAAGAAGTAACTGCACATTTTGATAGTTTTGTGTACTAAAGGTTTCTGTGATTCTGTAATGACATTGTTTTATTAACCCTCACATAATATTTTCTTACACACTATAGTACTCTAGTGCTCCTTAGCAATGAGGATGGTGAGACATGGTCTAAGGCACTGTGGACGTACGCTATCGGGAGCGAGCAGTCCCTGGACCAGGGCGTCATGGTTGGCACAGTGGAGTGTGTGGGTGAAAAGGAGGGAGACATGTATGAGGTGCACTGACAGTGGGCGCAGGCACAGCAGCACTTGTGAAGATGAAGACCGGCGGTGTTCTTCCTTCTGTTCTGCTCAGGGTCACGATGAAGCTGGCTCAGTGGCACCTAACGACATAGTGCACAGAGGGCAGTGGATAGATTTCCAAGCAAATATCCAAAAGTTATGTAGGTTCCTTTCAGAGTTTGGCAAAATGTAATTTAAAAAAAAATTCTGCTTCAGATTGACCTTCTCCCAATCAACCCAAATTTTAAAAGTTCTACGAGATAGAAACATCTCGAGTGTATCAATCACTAGACTCCTGTTATTAAAACTCTGAGGAAGCATAAGATATACGTTTTTACTACCCTTTTTGAAATAATGCATTTAGAGTAGAATATTTGAACCGTCACAGCATGCGGATAAACAAGCTAATCTACATGCTAATGTGGTTTCACAGTTTACATTTAAGTAAATGTGTTTCTTATTATAGTAACTCTATACCATTTACCTTACAAATTCAATTTTAATTAGCCTGTTAGTAGATGAGAAATGATACATATTTGTTTTTTTATATTAAAAATGCACTCCAAATGTGTTTGTACATTATAACCATTTAACAGATGCTTCCTTTCCTTAAAAATATGCATTAAAAATACTTAAATTCTAAATAATTCTAAATATGGTCAGAGCCTTAAAAACTAAGCATATGCTATTCAAAACCTAAAAATATATATTCTTACTATCACATTTTTCAGTGTGATAACATACTAAATCTAGAAAAAGATATATTTTTTATTTTATAGAATTTATATTTAGAAGGGTAACCAAGGATACATTGAAATATATTTATTTTAATGAGCCATACCTCAAAAACCAGTAGTGGCAAATATCTCTTTCTACTACTTTTAAGGGATTGTTTATTTTATTGGTAATAGAAGATTATTCATTGGTACCTCTCTTTAATTCTTTTTAAACAGGGCAGAAATTCCTTCTGCCGTCAGATGTCTTTCTGCTTGACTGAACTGCACCTGTGGTCATTGAAGAATACTTTACACATTGCAGGTAAAAAAGTTCCGATTACTTTCAATGCTCTTCAAGTATAAGTTACAACATTATAAGTTGTACTAGTGATTCTTTTAAGTAAATGTGTTTATTATTGTAATAACTTTATACCACTCAACTTGAAAATTTTCTTCGGTGACAGGGACTGTGTTTCTTCATACTTAATGAAACATTACTTGTTAGAAAATATTTCCTTTTAGTCACTCCGATTAACTTATTTTTTTAGACTGAATTAGAATTTCAGTTTTGAAATGAACTGTGAAAATTAAATTATGTATTGTATTTGTTTTTGCTGCTGATAAACATCTATTAAACTTTCTCCTGTGATTGTTCATAGTAAATTATTCATATTCATAAGCATTTATAGGCCAGCTAATGATGGAGGCATTTCAATTGATATTAAAGTAGTATTTTAAAAAGTAACATTGTATACATACAAGTAAGATGCACTGCTGTTCTCATGTGTTTTGAATTTTACATTTTTCTTGAGACAGTAATTTGTGGTTTACAGTGTTTAATAATACAGAGTACATTTTATTAGGAAATGCATTTAATTCAAAATCATTTCTTCTTTACTTTTCGAAAGCAACTCTTACAGTATTTAAGAAGAAACTTACTCTTATACCTTTGCTAAGAAAATGATTTATCTTGCAAAGTAATGCTTCTTTTGTAAAAAATGTGACTCCTTAAGATTTTTTCCAACATTTTTTGGCCAATTTTATTCGAATCATCACTTACCCAGAAGCACTTACTTTTTTTTTTTAAACCATTACACGTTAACAAACCCAAACCAAACTCACTCCCACCCAGTCACTGCTGCCTCACGGTGACCCCCTGTGGGCTTCCAAGTCTAACTGTTTATAGGAGTAGAAAGCTCAGTCCTTCTCCCGCGGAGCTGCAGGTGGTTTGGAGCTGCCAACCATACGGATTGCAGCCCAACTCATAGCCACAAAGGGTGGTCTCTTTTACCCTGTTTGTTTTCCGTCATGAGCCTCCATTCCATACCACATACAGAAAGAGAAGAAGCACTACAAGGATTGCAACCAACACCACAGTACCAAGAAATCCAAATTCACTGCCATGAGTCGATGCCGCCTCATAGCGACCCTGTACGGGTAGAACCACACCTCTGCGTTTCCAAGACTAACTCTTTACGGGAATAGAAAGTCCTGTCTTTCTCCCGTGAAGTGACTGGTGATATTGAACTTCTGACCTTTCTGTTAGGGGCTCAATGCGTAACCACTATGCCACTACGTCTGTCCTCACTGAACAGTTTCCAAGATAACTTCAAATATGTATAATTTGGTTGTAGCATTGATCCTGATAGGAACCGTGGTCCTCAAAGCATGTCTGAATTTTCATTTCTGAACACCATCCTAGTGCTGTCCAGTGCTGCTGCTTTTCCAAGGGCCCCCTGGCACATCTGAATGTCATCAACTGGACGGCAATGGGTTTCATTCATGTACACAGAGCTTCCACCCAGCTTCTTAGGGCCTCACGTTTAATAGTCATAGAGAGCTAAGCGTCACCAGATAGGAATGTCTCCAAGGAGAAAGAGAACAACACAATGAGTGGATAAAAAGGATCTCTGAAAAAACAGTTAGTGGAGCCCTCGTGGTATAATGGTTACACATCGAGATGCTAACAGTTGGAAACCATCAGACACTAGGATTTCATCTCTGGTAAAAACTAACAGCCTTGGAAACCCACAAAGGGCAGTTCTACCCTGTGATATAGGGTCTCTATGAGATGGAATCAATTAGATGGCAGTGAGTTTAGAGCTTGGAAGAAACAATTCACAGAAAGAAAAATGCAAGAATAGTTTAAATAAAGGAACCAAAGAACAGAACATGACCTCTTGAAAATTAAAAACCCATAGTAGAAAAAAAATTAATTCAAAAGAGTAATGGAATTATAAAGCAAGAATATAGCACTGCTGTTAAACACATAAATTGGCCTAACTACTTTAGAATACAGTTTGGCACTATCTAGTTAAATTGACTAAGGGGGCTGGTGCCATAGTAGTTATGTGCTGGGCTGCGAACTGCCAGGCCAGCCGTTCAAAACCACCAGATGTTCCACAGGAGAAAGACTGGTCTTTCTTACTATAGTTAAAAATTGCAGTCTTGGGAACTCACAGGGGCAGTTCTACCCTCTAAGGTTGCTATGAGTCAGAAGAGATGTGATGGCAGTAAGAAAGCATATAATTGACCACCATTTGTGTCTTTGTTATACTGTGGTGGCCTGGGTGTTGCTGTGGTGCTGGAAACTATGCCACTGGTATTTGAAATACCAGCAGGGTACCTATGTTGAACAGCTCCCAGCGTTTCCAGAGTGGACAGACTAGGAAAGAGGACTTCATGATCTACTTATGAAAAACAGGCCCCTGAAAACATTACAAATCCCAGTGGGACATTGTCTCATAGGGTGCTGGGAGATGAACCCTTCAGAGTGGAAGGAAATAAATATGCAACTGGAGAAGAGGTGTCTCCTCAAAGTAGAGTCAGCCTTCATGATGTGGGTGGTGTAAATCTTTCAGGACCTTGATTTGCTGATGTGGCATGACACATATGAATCCAAGAAAATTATAAGTCATCAAAAAATGCAAAGGATGCATAAAGATCTTGTATCCTAGACATTTGTGAATGGAAATGATTATGATGATTTTGAATTGGACAAACATTGGACCTACTATACCAGGAATGGCAAATTCAAGAGGAATGATAGATTCATTGTCAAAAAGAAAATTTTAAGATCTACCCTGCAGTACAGTGCTGTCAATGATAATATCCACATGCCTACTGGAAAACTGGTTAATATGACTCTGATTCAAATATATGTACTTATTACTAATGCCAAAGATGAGGAAATTTAAAATTTTTACCAACTTCCGCAGTCTGGAATTGATCAAACATGCAGTCAGTACACATGGACAACTACTGGTGATTGATATGTGAAAGTTGGAAACAAAGCTGAAGGATCATTAATTGGAAACTATTGCCTTGGTAACAGAAACAACCTCCGACATTGCATGATAGAAGTTTGCAAGTCCCATAATGTATTCATTGAAAACATATGTTCCTAACCTATGCATATGAACCTTTCCAGGTGTATTCCACAGGATTAAAGTGACTATATCTGTGGGAAGAAATGGTGGAAAAGTTCAATATCATGGGTCAGAATAAGGCCAAGGACTGACTGTGTATGGGCAAAATGATGAATAGTATAAGAAGCATCAAAAGTAGATGGAAGTAATATTCAGTCACTGCACCAAAAAAAAAAAAGCCAACATTCAGTCACATCAGGAGATAACATTATATATACTACCTTTTGTGCTCAGAGTCCTCTTACCATTTTCTTTATTGAATTACCTCCTATGTTTGTACTCATAAACAATATAGTATTTAATTTTTTTTGCCTGAAATTCCCATTCTTCTCAATATTATCTATAATTTGGTATGATCCATGCAATAGAATGTATTTGAATTTTAATAAAATTCAGGTTGACATCTTTCTGGTATTCTCTGCTTTCAATCAAGTTCCATCTGACATCAGAAATGATGCACCTCATTCCATGCCCTCTTCTGAATCCATCTTGAACAGGTTTTGAATGATCTTCAGTATAATTTTACTTTTATGTAATATTAATGATGTTGTTCAAAATTTTTGCATTCTGTTCAATCACTTTGCCTTGAAATGGGCACGCTATGGATCCCTTCCAGTTGGTTGGCCAGGTGACTTCCAAATTTATTGGCATAAACCAGTGAGCGCTTGTAGCATTGCATCCGTTTGTTGACACATCTCAATTGGTATTTCATGAATGCCTGCACCCTTGTTTTTTAACAATGTCTTCATGTAGCTTGGACTTCTTCAAGAACTCTGAGTTCTTGATACATGCTTCTTATTCAATGTCCAGCATGCAGAGGAGGCCATTGAGGATGCTATTAGCTTGAGTCACCTTAATCTCTTCAAAGTTTGACAGCCTTGCTCTTCAAATTTAAAGTGTTCTTGTGCAGAGGACTTGCTCAATGAAATACGTTGTTTGATTTCTTGACTGCTGCTTCCATGAGCACTTATGGATCTGGGCAAGATGAAATCCTTGGCAACTTCAATCTTTGCTCCATTTCTTATGATGTTTTTCCATTTACCATGCACCTAGGTGGCTTTCAACCACCAACTTTTATGTTTCTGGTTGAATGCAAACTGTTTGCACTCCCAGCCACCCCTCACCATGCACCTAAAGAGAGAGAATAAAATGTCATTATTAGGTGCTCTCTATGAATAGTGGAGGTTTGGTTCCTTTCTCTTTTTGTGCTTTTATTATTTTTAAATTTCCTGTAATGAACATACATTATTTTTTATAATGAGGAAAACAACTATGTTGAAAATACAAATATTTTCAATATTTTCAAATAGAAAAAATGAAAACTGCAACAAAACACATGAAAACCAAGGAAAGAAGAATACTAGAGGGTCAAACTGGGAACTCCACATTGAACTCAGAATTTCAGAAAAAGCAGCAGAGAGGACAGGTGGAAATTGTCAAAGAATTATTACTACAGCCTATTGAGTACCCCACACAGTGAATGGATAAAGGCTTATGTGAAATTTCAGAACATCAAGTCCCAAACCTTTATTACAAAGAGTTGGACTCAGGTTGGCCTCGTTTTTTTCAACATTAACACTGAACATGATGAGGCCACGGATGGATGCCTTTGAAATTCAGAGGGAAATTATTCCCCAGCTAATATTCTCTTCCCAGCCAGCTCATAAAGTACATGTGAGGAGAAATATATAGACATTTTCATCCTTGTGAACTCTCAGAATATTAACCTCCCTCTGGGATACTCCCTGTGTTACCGAATGGTAGGGTGTGCTACCATACTATACACTGGTTATAGACCAGTAATTTTGTAGGATGTCGGCTGATTTGGATTTTATGAAGTTTCCTCACAAATAGCTGTGGGTCATGCATGTTTGACAGGAGTATCCCAGAAGAGATTCTGTGTCCTCAATGCGCCCATTTGTCACTGTACTGATGATGTTCATCAGTCCTTCATCAAGGTGGTGTCTGCTATGCATCTTCACTGGAAAGTCGCCCTTCCCCTTGATAATTAATAAACATGTTGTAGGGAGGTATCTTGAAACTGCAAAGAACTTGCCCCTCATCCAATTTTAAAGACATTAATTACTTATTTAATTTGTATGGATTCAGGTTTTCTATTTTATCCTTTGGTCATATACACCATTGCTATCCTAATTTATTTTGATGTGGAAAATGGGACCCCCTTCAAACTGGTTTCTATGTCAGTATCTAAGCACATCCATGGTTTTTGGTACAAGGTATTTGGGGCTCCTATTATACTTTCCCTGCCTCCCTCCCAGGGCTCAGCTACTTGTCTGAGAAGCATGGTGAGTTTCAAGGGACAGTGGACTCAAGCAAAAGTGTGCTCATTGCCATTGCCATACCACTGCGCGCAGGCCCTACGAGGGCAGAGCAGAGGGAAGATGAGTATGTATGTGTACATGTGCACACACGTTCATCCCACAGCCAATAGGTGCATATTGAAAAACAGGGATTCAAACTGGTACCTCCAGTTCTAATATACCACCACAGGGTCATTCTCATTTCCTCCCTTTCTGTATTTGTTATTTCTTAAGCTCTGGGACACCCGCAACTACATTATCTTTAATTAATTTACTTGCTTAATCCATCATCCTATATGCTATCTGTCTCCTGTCTCTGCTGCTACTCCCTCTCCTGGGTGGGTACCAGGCTTGCCTCACCTGAGTTCTGGCACAACATGCTAAGCCACTATCATGTGTGGATATCTTACTCACCGTGGTCAGCCTCTGACCACTGCCTCGCACTAATGTCCTCTCACTCAGCTGTGATACTAGCAGCCACACCAGCCAGCTCTCTGCGTGGACACTTCACTCATCCTGCTTGGGCTCTAACACTTGTACAGAGCAGTTGTCCTATGCCAACAGCCTCCTCATCCTGCTTGGGTGTGGTAACCTCACTGTGGGCTAGTAAGTCTTACAGGGGCACAATCAGAGTCCCTGTGATGTTCGTAGATCTCTTCTAGAGTTGTGGTCATTTGGACACAATGCAAAAATGGATATAATGATAGCCGAGAGTGTTGTAGGGTTTTTCCTATGTACCCAGTGCCTTTGGCTCCCCGAGATAAAACAAAACAAAACAAAACAATGTTTTATTGAAATATAACAGATGTACTAAAGGAGTATATTTTAAGGTGTATTTCAAACTACAAATAGTAATTATAAGGGTTCTGATAATCACCCCCCAACTTAAGAAATTAAATATCATCAGTACCCTGGATGTGCCCCTTCCCAATCATTCCTTGTTAAATATAATATATATTATGTGAAACTTACATTTACCAATTAATGGCATAATGAATAAGCTAAGCTTCAACAAATATACATGATTGGCTATTTTGAAAAACAATATTTATCAAGTTAGTTATGGGAGCAATACAGTTTTTGGAATTGTCTTTCAATTTCGAAACCTTGGAACCATTGGACACTAGGGGGCAATCCGTACTGCTTCCACGTCTTTAGAAACAGTTGTCTCCTTTTGTCAGTAACTGAAAAATGCTTTGCATAGAAGGAAATCGGTGTTCCTTCCACGAAAGATATTTCATTATTCATAGATATGGAGAAAACAGGCAGAATTGTTTTGTTTTACTGTTTACTGTCAGAATAAGTTCCTTAGTTAAAATGCTCTTAACATCTGACAAGTCTGTCTTTGCTTCTAATGGTTGCTCCTGCAAAGAATCCAAATTTGAATGGATTTAAAAGCTTTTTGAATCGAAATACATTTTAGATAGTTTATCCATATTTCCCCTTAATCTTCCCTATTTGTTTTTGTATATTTCCCCCAATAGACTGAACCCTACACCCTTGAGCTGAATCAGAGAGGCCAGAGAACAGCTAGGGCATTTTCTTCCATGCACCGATTCCATTTGGTTTTGCTTAGTAGTTTCTTTTCCTTTTTTTGTATTAAATCATTTTACTGGGGGCTTGTACAACTCTTATCCCAATCCATCCATCCATCCATTGTGTCAAGCACATTTGTACATTTGTTGCCCTCATCATTCTCAAAACATTTGTTTTCTACTTGAGCCCTTGATATCAGTTCTTCATTTCCCCCCTCCCTGCTCCCCTCTCCCTCATGAACTCTTGATAATTTATAAATTATTATTTTGCCATATCTTACACTGTCCGACGTCTCCCTTCACCCACCTTTCTGTTGTCCGTCCGCCCAGGGAGAAAGTTATATGTAGATCCTTGTAATCGGTTCCCCCTTTCTACCCCACCTTCCCTCCACCCTCCAGGTATCGCCACTCTCTCCACTAGTCCTGAAGGGATCATATGTCCTAGATTCCCTGTGTTTCCAGTTCCTATCTGTACCAGTGTACATCCTCTGGTCTAGCCGGATTTGTAAGGTAGAATTGGGATCATGATAGTGGGGGTAGGAAGCATTTAAGAACTAGAGGAAAGTTGTATGTTTCATCATTGCTACCCTGCACCCTGGCTGGCTTGTATCCTCCCCGCAACCCTTCTGTATGGGGGTGTTTCTTTGAATCGTTTAAGAGGAAGTATGAAAGAGAAAATATGACCTTTGATGCCAGTGCTTTATTAATAGTTTCCTCATTCCATTATAGTACTTTTTTTTCTTACTATATTGACACACTCTCTAGTCCCTGCATATATCTAGAACCGATGGGCCTATCTCCAGATGCTTCTGAGTGGTTTTATTTCCAGTGGCATAAAGAGATGGTTTCCATCCTGCCCCAGCTCTATAAATAAGGATGGAGTGGCTTCTCATTCTCCCAAACTTACGACATTTTGATGTTATTCCTTCCTTTCTTCAGACAGAGACATCGGGACTTACCAGTATTACGACAAGAAAGACCCCCCAGGTAAGCTGTTTCATTAAACTAATGTTTTATAAATGCAATATTCCCAAGCTAGGAAACATAAGGAAAGCCACTTCAGTTCTTTAGAAGAATGCCAAGTTTAACATCTATTCTGTATAAAATTAAGTGATATTGAGAAGATGTTGTAGAAGAACACAAAAATTGTCATTTTACTGCTGATTGAGTTGATAACTAGACAGTCTGTTCGCATTTATTTATCAGTGTCCCAGTAGAGGGCATTGTTAATGCATGGGTCCCCTGGTGCTGGCCTCCCGGATCCTCATCTGATATCTGAAATAGGCATTTCTGAGTGAATGATCAATTTTCTTTATCTGATTAATCCTGTTAATCTTAGAAGTTTCATGATGGGCCAAAAGGTCTTTCTAGCTAGAGTTACTTCCTGTTTGGGTCTCTGCTGAAGTGGGGCTTGTGTGGGCATCCTGTGGCTGAGCTGGGTGGTTAATAGGCTGCCTGCATGGTTCTGATGACAGACTGAAGCAGCTTCTGTTCTGGGCTCGGTTGCAGTTGCCTTCCCTATCTGATGAGATTGGAAGCTTAGGATATGGGCCCACCTGTTGAGCTACATAAGCCTTTCACTGCAAATTTAGGAACCCTCTCTGTGACAGGACAACATCCAAATTAAGACAGATTTTCCACCCACCACCTTTTAATGAATGTTGCATGATTTATTAATTTCAATATGTGTGTAATTCCTTGTTTAAATAAAAACTATATGGTGTTATCATAAAAATAATTACATGTTTTTCCCTTCTTCTCCCCCTCTCCTTCCCCCACCAACCAGTGACACAACATGGTCACTTAGAAGCAAAGCAGAAGCTGGCCGAATGTAAGCTTACTTGAACATTTTCCTTTAATTATTTTATTAACCAGAATTTTCATATCCCTCAAGTTTGTTATTGACATTCTTCTTTCTGCACTAACAGGAAACCTTATTCCCACCAAATGTCTCATCATTACAAAACCTATTAAGTATATAAACTTAGATGCTTATATATTTGGTAGGTCTTTCTAATTTAGACTATTAAAACCTCTGTTCTGTTCTTTTTTGGCCCGATGTATGCTCATGTAGCATGTATTTCCTTAATGAACTGTGTATATATCACTTAGCACATTTTGATAACACTTTAAATCCAAACTTTGCCTAAAATATGTTTACCCATTTTAAGAAAATAATATTTATAATTATTAGTGTTAGCATTTTATTTCCTTTACTATTTTTTTTGGTTCCCAGATATAAAAGTATGTTATATACATAATATGGTTACTATGTAATATGATCTTAATGAACTTAAATTTAGATATAGTTAAAACTTTGTTTGGGACATAGTTGGAACTGAGACATTACTTTTCTCTAGTTGTAAATGGTCAAACAGACTATTTTTTAAAAGACTGCATTTTAGCCACAACACAGATTTTAAATTTGCATATAAGGTCTAAATATTTATTATAAATTATGCTGATAGAACCAAATTAGGTGCTGACATATGAAAAAATAGCAATTACACTATCAAATGTAAATGTATATATATTGCATTTGTTTTGTATGCTTACACACATGCTATATATATGTGTACATATATAACTTTAGAATGATTTTTATGATGAAACAGTGTAACATTCTATTCATTGTTCTTAGGCAGAGCTGACTTTGTTTTTGGTTAATATTGGGAATATACTAAATGCTTTTCTCAGTTAAATTAATTTAATACAAAATAAAGGCTTATCATTATTGAATTGTTATGTATATTTCAGAGAAGAGTATTTAAAATACAAATTGCCTGGTTAGTTAAAATTTGGAGTTCCTTAAGATTTTTTTTTTAATGTGACTTTGATTTTAACTTTGTGTGTGCATTTGTATATTATTTCCTTCATCATTTACTCATTTACTTCTGAGAATTTTAAGGTCTAAGAAGGTCATTTGCCAAATTTGGGATTTCTTTTGGATTGAATGTTCAATAATTTACATCCAACAGCTATCAGAAGATAGTGTAGAGAGGTCACTTACTGCCAAGTGTTTGAGTCACAGACCTAGGAAACTTTCCCAGGGAATCTCTGAGTCTTGCTGGTTGTCATCATAAAATTATGATCAGGAGATTGTCTCGTGGTAACAATCCTGTTCCTATGACAAAGCCTTTCAAAAGGCTGTCATCTGTTGATAGAAATGAAGCCCACTTCCTCTCAATTATGAAGGTGTTTTATTTTAATCTTCCTAAGTCGCACTGCTAAGTAGAGTTTCCTTTTTAAGTCATGTTTAACTAACTGTAATACATGTTCTGTTTGCCAGCACGAGATTATCCTTGGACACTCAAAAACAGGCGCCCAGAAAAGCTTCGAGACTCGCTCAGGGAGCTGGAGGTAAGTTTCAAAAAGTTTCAAAAATGGCAACAAACGAATCTGTTTTAAAACATCTTTCACCAGCTTTAATTTTTATAAAGGATCAGCTCTCATGGCGATGATAGCTTTGCTTTTGTCCAGCGAGGAGTTCCAAAACAGTTGCATCTTTGTGTGGCATGCTGATTTTTTTTTTTTTTGTGCTTGCAAATCAGAAGCACTTTAACGGATAATGGTAATGTATACAGCCAACTGCACTCTCTCTTTTTCTGTTGTCCTCCAGGAGCTGATGCAAAGTAGTCAGTGTGTGCTGAGCAAATGGAAGAACAAATATGTCTGTCAGGTAAAAATGGTTAGACAAGCTTTTGCAGTGTTTGGCCAATGATGTTGAAATATGCAGTAATTGGTATTTTTGTGTTAGGATGGGGAAGGGACAGAAACCTTTTTAAGGAGCAGATATTTCATAGTTTGAATTCTAGTCATTCTGGAAATAACATTAGACAGACAGTCACTGGCTACCTCATTAATCAGTATAGTTGGACTGACACATGCTAAACACTAGTAAGTATCTTTTCATTTGTTATTTTTTGTTCGAATGTTGTCTGAAAGTTGTATTAGGTATTTATGAGATATATATAATCATGTTAATGAAGATGAAACCTCATGACAAAGGATTGTGTGGCATACCGTACTAGTGTTTGGGAATACCATGCTTATAGATATCAACAAGCAGCCTAGAGTTGGATCGAATATGACAAGATGTTTGGTCTTAGTCTTGAATCCTCTAATCCATGCTGTCTAATATGGTTGCCACTAGTCATATGTAGGTATTTAAATAAAAATGCAAGCTAAATAAGATGAAAGAGATATTTTTCACAGACAAGAAAATATATAAAAAATAAAACATTTTAAAATTAATACAATGGAAAATCTAGTTTCTCAGTTATACTTCTCACATTTTAAGTGCTCAGTAGCCTCATGTTAAAGTTTTAGACTGTGCAGACAGAACATATCTATCATATGAAATATTTCCATCACAGAGGATTCTACTGGAATCCAAAGTATAGACAGGGTGAACAAATATTGACTAGGCCTTGATTCAGAACATAATAAGAATCTAATTATTGTTCATTGATCACAACATACTGGATAAACGCCTTAACGTTTCTAACAGGTTTAAGAAATACAATTTGTCTGGAAAACTTTTACTTGCTTATGCTACAAAGAATAATCATAAGTTGGTCTATTCAGCAAGTCCCTGAGTGGTGCAAATGGTTTGCACTTGACAACTAACCCTAAAGGGTGATTAGCTCAACGCAGCCAGTGGTGTCACATAAGAAAGGCCTGGTCTTCTGCTTCCATAATGATTACAGCCTAAACCCAGTTGGATGGCAACTGCTTCCCTCCAGCCCCACCTCCTGGTCTGTTTGTCTATATTCTGTTCATAAGTATACTTAAAGTTGTGTCAGCATAGTAATAATTACTACAGTTTTATGGGACTGCATTTTTTGTATCAATTAAATTTTTTATTTGTGTATAATGTGACTTGTTTTAGAGATAACCATTAATATTTGAACTTTAGGCTAGTTGTTCTGTTTATGAATCTATCATATCAAATTGATAGTAATTATAAACATGTTAACCCACCATTTGAATATAGACTACCATTTTAGTGGACTCTAGTTTTTCCCCAGGAAATAGTTAAGTGGTCAGTGACTAGCCCCGAGGTTGGCAATTAGAATCCACCTCAAAGTACCTTGGGAGAAAGGCATCGTGAAAGATCACATCCATGGAAAACCATGCAGTGCAGTTTCTAATCGGAAACCCCAGAGTTAGAGGGACCTTGATGGCAACTGATAGTTTTCCTTCATTTTTTGTTTAAGCAAGGCTTACTTTACTTGTCGAGGTAACCACTCCGCTCCCTCTCCATAGACATAGAATAATTATTGTCCAGGCTTGGGAAAAAAGACAAGGTTTCTACTTCCATAGAGTTGCAGACTCGGAAACCCAATGGGGGCAGTTCTCCCTGTCCTGTGGGGTCACTTTGAGTTGGAATTGACGACTTGACAGCAATGAGGTTTTATTATTATTAATATTATTATTATTTATTTTATTAATATTATTAGAACTATAATACTTCTTAAATTCCTATTAGACACTACTCAAAAGATGGGATTATAAAAACACTGTAAACTGCTTGCATAAAAATATGTTTTAGAGTTTAATCCAAAATAAATTCCAGAAGTTTCCAATGCAGTGCAATGAAAAGGATCACTTTAATGCCATTCCTCACCTTAAAAACAGGCTCAAAATTATTTGACTGGAGGGCAAGCCTGCCACCTATAGTAAGGGGTGTGTCTCTGGGCCTCCACCCTCAGCACCACACAGGGTAAGTTGGAACATGTAAAGCTTCTTAAAATATGCAATGGAGAATCCCAATAGGTAATCTTTTTTTGATAGACTTTATTACATTTTAATTTAATAAGCAAGTGTTTAGGGGGAATGTGTAGAGGGATATGTCCCTTTTGTTGAGTTAAGTCAACCCAGAAAAGAAATTTTATGATACATGGTAAGACTTGTAATTTGCAGCAACATGACTACACCCATTTCATAGGCTTGCGTACCAATGAGCCTGCTATTCATGCCCATTTCTGTGTATGTTTTGTCATATTATGTATTTTGTTTCATTGAACAATAAGGTGTTCGTAAAGGAGACTTCTCACTACCAGCATGTTTGTCACATGATCTATTTTAATAAAGAAGCCCTGGTGGTGGAGTGGGTTACATATTGGGCTACTAATCACAAGGTCAGCAGTTTGAACCTACTAGCCATTCCATGGGAGAAAAATGAGGCTTTCTGCTCCTGTAAATATTTATGGTCTCGCATACTACCAAATATAGCAACAACAGCAAACAAACCCCCATGCAGCAGAAGACAAAGTAGATGACTGAAGCCTACTAAAAATAAGACATGTGCATCAAAAGACTTCACCAAAAGAGAACCTGTAGACAAGGGGGAAATTTTGAGCCATCGATAGAAAACTACATCTCAACAAGAAAAAGACAAATAATCCAATTTTGAAAGTAGACAGAGGACGTGAATAGGCAGTTCACCAAAGAAGACAACCATGAAGAAATGCTGACAAACATGAAGAAATGATCACTATAACTAGAGAGACACAAATCAAAACAATGAGGAGATTCCACTTTCCACTGGCATTGACAGCAAAGTTCGTGAAAACCGAAAATAACAAATGGTGTAGATGGTGCGGAGGGGCTGCAGCCCTCAGAGGGGGGCTGTGAGACTATGAAACCACTGTGGTGCTTCCTCACCCAGCTGAGACTAGAAATGGCAGATGACCCAGTAGTTCCTTCACTTGGTAGATACCCAAAAGAAGGCAGAGCCAAAGAACAAACACATATATGCGCACCTGAGTTTACTGCAGCACTGTTCACAACAGGGTTGCTATGAGTCATACTATGTCAGGAAATTTGGAAGACAGCTACTTGGAAAACTGACAGGAAGAACTCCATATTTATACCCATTCCAAAGAAAGGTATACCCATTCCAAAGAAAGGTGACCCAACAATATTTACATTATGGAACAATGTCATTGATACACATGCAAGTACAATATTGCTGAAGATCACCCAACATTGGTTGCAGCAGTACATTGACAGGGAGCAGGGAGCTGCCAGAAATTCAAGTTAGATTCAGAAGAGGATTGGAACAAGGGATATCAAGGCTGAAGTTAGATGGATCTTGGCTGAAAATAGAGAATACCAGAAAGATGTTTACTTGTGTTTTATTGACTCTGCCAAGGCATTCAACTGTGTGGACTATAACAAACTGGATAGCCTTGAGAATAATGGAAATTCCAGCACACATCATTGTATTTATGCGGAAACTGTACATGGATCAAGAGGCAATTGTGCTAACAGAACGAGGGATTATTGCATGGTTTACAATCAGAAAAGTTACGTGTTAAGGTTGTGTCATCTTACCATACTTACTCAATCTGTATGCTGAGCAAATAAATCATCAGAGAAGCTGGATTATATGAAAAGGAATGTGACATCAGGATTGGAGGAAGGCATATTAACATTTATGATATGCGGATGACACAACTTTACTTGCTAAGAGTGAGGAGGACTAGAATCACTTGCTGATGAAGATCAAGGATTACAGCCTTCAGTATAGACTACAACTCAATGTAAAGAAGACCAAAGTCCTCACAAGTGGACCAGTAGGTAACATTTGATAAACGGTGAAAAGAAAGATATTAAGGATTGTGTCTTGCTCGAATCCACAATCAGTGCTCCTAGAAACATTAGTCAAGAGATCAAATGACATTGCATTGGGCAAATTGTCTGCACAAGACCTCTTTAAAGTGTTGGAAAGCAAGAATGTTACTTTGAGAACTAAATGCGCCTGACCCAAGCCATGAGATTTTCAATTGTTTCATAGGCATGTGAAAGTTGGGCATTGAATAAGGAAGATGAAGAAGAATGGATACATTTGAATTATGGTGCTGGCGAAGAATATTGAACAAACAAATCTATCTTAGAAGAAGTACAGTTAGAATGCTCCTTAGAGGAAAAGATGGTGAGACTTTGCGGTTGGAGGTGGTGCCAGCCCCCCACCACTAATCACGGGTTCAATAAGCACGATTGTATGGTTAATATATATAAAGATTATATTAAAGTCATTGAGAGCATGAGAGATAGAACAGAGATTGGAATAATGGAGTCAGACACATTTCATGGTAGCATGCTCACCTCCTGGATGGCCATGATCTTACCAGCCAGGTGCGCACAGTGTGGGCTGAGGCGAGGCAGGGTAGGAACCAGGCAGGATGCTCAAGCACCCGGCAGGAGGCTGGAGTACCCAGCAGGAAGTTGGAGGACCCCGTTAATTGCTAACCCAGGGTTGTATCTACTTAGGGAGGCGTGATTACAGGTAACCACAAGTCACAGGAAGGGGCAGTATAATAGGCATGCATATTATAGGAAGGGGATGTATAATGGGCATAGGCGTAACAGGAAGGGGTAAGCTAGGGGTGTGCCCATAGGAATGGGAGGGACTAGGGGTATGTATATATGTTACAAGATGAGTGGACCCTAGATTCATGATGGCTGCCTAACCTTGGTCACCCTTGGGCTGGCTTGACCTCTCTGGTGTCTCCTACAAGGAAACAGACAACTACTATCCTTATCAGAAGGGAGTGGGCCCTACTTGTTGTGGGATAAACAGTGGTGACTGCTTGCCCTAGATGGCTGACAGCTCTTAGGGAGAATAATCCCTGATCTACTTCTGATGACCTCCAAATGTATAGTCATTTG